TAAAAACCACACCTACTGTGTTATATATTTTCTTCATCACTGTAGGGGAGCCACGCTACAACAAAGAATCCATCACTTTGCTGGTTCACCTGATCTCACCTTCATTACAAGCCAAACTGAGACAGGAAATGCCTATACAGTTGGCATCTCGGTACATTTTTATACCACTCAGATCTAGTATCTGTATTAACATGACTTAAATTAGTCAATCAGAAGAAAACTGTTTCATTTTCATGTTGTCTTTTATTTCAAACAATGTTTACCATGTCAGCTTAACTAATGTAAAATATGTGTCAAAAAAGGTTCATGAAACATTCAAAATGAAATTGTCTTTAATGGTTCAGTTAACATGGGAATACACGTGTTAGTATGTGTGTGTGCGTGTCTGTTACCTGCCATAGAGGATACATTAATAATGGTGCCTCCTTCGTTGCCATGCTCTTTACTCATGTGTTCCAGTGCCAAGTAGGTTCCCTTTATTACAGATGTCTACAACGATAAAGAGACAACATGGTCACAGCAGGCAAGTGAAGCATGTTAAGCAGGAAGTGAAACTAAAAATGATCAATGTGTGAACTGAAAAGTTAAGGACTTATACTTGTGTTTTAACTCAGGACATCTATTGCTAACTGTGATAATAATACTGTCCACAAAGCAAGATGCTTTCGTAGCCCAGGTCACAAATGTAAGATCACCTTCTAAAGTCTCACCTTCTAAAGTTGCGCTACAAACAGGTAGCAGACAGCTGCTTAGTTGATGAAATACATCAACTTAAGTAATGGCAAGTGTGCCGACCAAATTTTTTACTTAAAATCCTTAAATCGTGATGTCATTGCGATTTTGATGCTGGCTTATAAACTTCCAAACAGGGTAGCCTACGTGTTGAATGAATCATTCTAAACATCCAAATTGTTGGTGAACTTGCAGAAGGCCCAGATATGCTTGAAATTCTTGGAACAATAATCCGGTAGGGACATTTTTTCTTAGTACATTTTGCTCTTCTTGGGGGCTCCTCCATCCCCTCTACAATCTGTTTGTTGCTTACCTGGAGGCTAACTGACTGCGGCTCTGCTAACCATAATTTACCAACTAAGTGGCAGGAGAGTAACAAGTGAGATGATTACCAAAGAATTATCAGCAGAACAAATGCTTGTTGACCTACAGTGGTACTGTTGCTAAAACTGGTTGTAAAGGTTATATTACAGAGACAGACAATGCTATTTCAGAGTTTCAGCTTATTACTGAAATCCAGAGACCTCCATACTAAACATTTGTGAGGGTGTACTCCTTATGTACATCATTCCAAAAAACATGACATCCATTTTTATCTCAGACAGAAAGTAAAGACTCACCTTAATACTGGGTCACCTAATGGTGATCAGGTGTAAAAAGACTACATTTTATCAGCGAACAAAATTTTTCTGCTGCGGTTTTCAGTAATATATTGTATGTGATATTCTGAAACAAAGAAAAACCAAACCACAAAGGATATTTTCTTAGAACACAATTCTCCTTCTTCTTGCCCAAAATTGCTGCACATACATTCAGAAGTCTAATTGCAATTTGTATATAGTAATTTATCTTGTTTTATCTTATCTTTACTTTATATTCTTCACTTTTCATTCTTATTACTGTTAAACTTCAAGTTATATAATACATTAAAGTGCAGTGCAGTCAGTATTTAACTTACAAACAAAAGTATCTGGAAATTACTTATTTTACTATAAGTTCTGAACTAAGCTGTCTTTACAGCTTAATTCCTGTAAAAGTGTGCCCAAATTTAGCTGCCACAAGAAGGTCAATCTTTTAATAAAAATGGAGAACATGTTGTATGTGTTGTGAAGCCTCCAGTCAATTTGAACAAAATTCTAGCAGTGGTTTATTGGAGGAAAGAAACTGCAGCTACCCCACATACGCAAGGTTCTAATGTTATGTGATATGGTGGCATTCTGCAGTATCTATAAAAGTTTCACAAAATTTCTAACCAGCATACAATATGTGCAGCAGTGGTTTCAGTGAAATGTACCTTGGGTCTGAATTTACATAATGTAACTTGATTTTCATTCACAGTGAGGGTTTTATATTTACATATGTACACAAATGTTCACAAAACCTCCACTCCTCCATGTGTACACCTTTTTGAATCAGATGTAGATTTATTTTACAGGTTTATAAAGTCTCACTGTCATCTTACCAAGTTGACTTGAATGGTCTTCTCCCAGTTCTTTTCATTGTTAATGCCAGCATTATTGATAACGATGTCCAGGCGACCAAACTGGTCCACAGTTCTCTGGAAGGCATCTAGCACAAATAAAAAGTAATCTGTGAGTAACTTTAGAAACTGACATCATAAGAGCTGAAAACCAGGATTTTCCTGCTTCAAATTATTTCCTGAAAACTCCAGACCAGAAGTAATGAACTTCTCCACTGTTATGCAATGAAGTGATCAAGATTGACTGTGGAAAGAAGGGCAAAGAGAGAGGCACATATTGTCATTATTTTTACATTATCATGCCTTCACATGCTAGATTATAATATAAAGGATTATATTATAATCTACCAACCTTTCATACATTTCAGAGAGCCAATAGCTACTTCTGGTGAGATTTGGCAACACTGGAGGAAGTGTGCAAGTCAACATCTCTATGTGTGTACATGAAATCCCAGAGGTGGGCACTCACTGCCAAGCCTCTTTGAATTATGCGGTTTGCAGGCAGCACAAATGTGCCCTTTCTGAGTATGAAACGTCGTACAGATTTTTTTTACCATTCCAAGCGCCTCCTCAGTGCAGTCTATGTACTGCAAACTGTAGTTTCTGCATCCCCTGAGCAGGGCGCGCCCCCGCTGTGACCCCCTCCCTTTTTCCAGCTAGAGGACCAATAATCCACCCTGCTAAACTCACCCCAGCAGTGTAACCTTATGCCTATTCTTTGTTTCAGTAACATAATGTTACATTGACACCCAAAAGAACCAATCAGATTTCAAGAGGGAGGTTCCCCCACGAAAAAGAACCAATCCAATTACATTTAAGTAAAAAGATGGGTGGAGATTTCACATGACTCACAGCTGCATAAAAGATGATGTTTTCACTGATTTCTTTAGTCTATCCAGACAGGCTCTGGTTTATTTTGGTTGCTGTTTGTGTATCTTCTGTTCAGAAATAAAGACAGACTGTATGGTACTCTGCACTGTAGGCTGTGCACCTACAGTGATGGTTTATATATAGGTTACTTAATAAGTAAATACAACTTAGAAGCTCAAATGTTGAAATAATATAATGACATAAGGAATATTCATGGAGAAAACCTTATATAATTGGAGAAAATTGTAATTCTGCAATTGGTTATCAAAACATTATTATTTGTATGGGATGATGAGATGTATATGTGCATTTAGTTGTGATGATGATGTTGTGGACTGTATGTTTAACATGCTTGTTGTTCAGACTCCTGGATAGATGTGAGAGAAGAAGTGAATGGCCCAGACGAATATGGGAAGTCTGGATCATGTCACGAGAATAAAACAGCTGTTGTTTTTTGATATTTATGTGGGTCTCTCCAGGTGCAACTTACAAACTTAAACTTTGCTGCCGCAAAGAATTGTGGTACGGCATTTTCTCCTTTCCTTTCATAAAGGGTGGTCTGGTGTTTCCTATGCTAATGGGGAGAAGACAGAAAGCATAGAAGCCCCTTACCTTGTCATTTAGAGAATTTGAACACCTCTTATTATTGCGGCCCCTGAAATCCTCCTGGGTCATTTCACTCAGTTATGAACCCTTATAAGCAAAATGGACTATTTGAACACACCCTCAGCCTCATTATGATAATGCTGTTTGTACTTGTACAGGCGCTATTCTGTTACAGTGTCCACTGTCTGCTCCTTTTCCCCAACACTGACATGAGCTGATTAAGTTTAGATGTAAGGCCTTTGCACACTAGACACTTTTTTTTGTGTGATTAATTTTTACTCATTGTCAATATTTGTATTTTTAGAAACTTTCTAAGATTCATGTATAGCTTGGGATCTTAGTCAATTTAAAGACTCGAGCTGATACAACAGTTCTTCAAACTGTCTGACTGGCATCCTGAAGCAACTATGTTAGAGTTTAAGTTCCTGAACCAAGCAGTTCTCCTCTGACTGTCAATAATGGGTGTACCCAAGTACAGTATTTCATCTTTTTTGTTTTTACTATGTACTATGTAAAAGGAGCACCACATCATAATTGCTTGATGTTAAGTCCATATTTTCTTTTCCATGGCAATTCATTTTCATCCTTTTAATTTATTTGCTTAATCACATCATGCTTAATGTGACAGAATATATGCATCCCATCTAACATAGGCGGTTCAGGTAATATCTCAGAAACACAAGAAGGGAATGTCTTCATGTTTGAAAATACATTCACTTGGGCTCAAGGATGAATTATACAATTGTGGTGGTCAAAGACCAAGATCACTTGGACATCACAAAACACATTTTTGGCCACAAGTCAATATTGCATATGCTAGTTTTTTACAAAATGCCTCACAACTCGCCAATAGGATTTTAAAAAAAAATCAGTGACATCATAATATTCTGTTAAAACATTTATCTGGTCATTTTTTACCTCCAGGAGGGCTGCCAATTGTGACCATACTTTACATTTCATCATATAATGAAATAGTATAATTAATACTGACACATTCAAACTTTGAAATTACGGGGAGGGTGTATGGTTAAAGATGTGTGTGTTTTAAATTAGTGGCTTAATTGCAACAACACACATATTTTAGGCATCATTTACTGTCATGGCAATATTTCTTTCAAAGTCCTCACTACATATGTTATTACTCTGGACAGACATGGATGTAAAAAGACAGAATTCCAGTTTCATTTCGTTGGATTTCCACCTAAAACATGATCTCTTAAAATGTTAGAGGACCTGAAATTCTTTGTAAAAGACTATGTCAGTTTTTCCATTGCTGTCTTAACAATGAGGCAAGATCTTTGTGTATGTTGTTAAACTGACTTCAGACATGTCGGCCACAGACAGACAAAGGGATACGCATTGTGCTCTAAAAGAATGAGCATTCACCTCGTTATTTATCTCCCAATGTGGGCAGACAGACATGGCTGGATAAACAGCTGCAGGGAGAAACCTGAGGTGCTAAAACCTGCATGTGTCATCACCTACCGCATTCCACACCTGGACACCCCCCAATTAGAAGCAAACACACACACAAACACACACACCCATGCAGGCTAGCATGTACACACACACACACACACACACTGTGTCCTTATCAACAGCAGAGCTATCACACAGTTAGGAGCAACACCAAACAGCATTCCACAGCCATTTGCCTGAAGGGATTGACTTTTTCAATGTCAGACAATGAAACCTTGTTCCTCTCTCTTGCTGTCTCAGTCTAAGACACACATTCAAATTACACCCACTTCTGTTCTCTGCTTCTTCTCTTATTCTCTCACCCAGACACACCCACACACAAACACACACAACAGCAGTGGCAGATCTGCAGAGTGGGAGAAGTGCATGGAGCATTTTATATATCTATGTACACATTGTGTGGTATACCTATAATTTTAGCTTTTAGCCTGCTAAAAAATAATCTGATGGTAAGAACCTGCTGCTTTGACAAAAGTCACAGATCATCCTTTGCAGTCTGCTTGACTGAGCATGCTGCTTTTCACACCCTCTGACTGTGGCTGTCAACTCAAAGAGGCTCTCCAGGATAATGCTTGTAATGCTGTCTAAAAATAGCCCTGTGCTATTGCTTTATTTAATTCGCTTTATTCATCAAGAGGAAGCTTGAAAGGATTGGGATAAGTAAAGCCTTCTTGTGCAGTTATATTTTTCAGCCTGCCTAAGGAGTCATAATAACTGCCTGGGCAGCTGCCAACAAATCAACAAACTGAATGTGTGGTGTCAATCAACAAGGGGTAGGTGATGCAAAGGCACAATTGTCATTTTCATCTCTTTTAAGTCCCACAGGCACTCTTACCTTTAAGTGAATCTCCATCAGACACATCACACTGAATAAAGGTGCAGTTGCCCTCTCCAAACTCTGCATCCAGGTGTGTCTTGCACTCTTCACCACAGGTCTTGTTCAGATCGACCACAGTCACCTAGAGTATAAAACTCTGTTCATCAGTCACATTTGAATGAGTTTAGGTGCTAAAGATTGTGTTTATGTCTGCAGAACTTAGTGCTACAGCACAGAGGAGAGAGCCCTGCTTACTCATATCACCTGCTGTGGTTTGACAAGTATGGTTGTAAACAGCACATGAGCAACAAAAAATATGGTCAGTAATGACATGGTCATGTTTGTGCTTTGCCACGGTTAGCCTGCTTTCTCAGGATGTGAATGAAGCTCTAAGAAGCTAATTTGTCTCCCTTAAAACCCTGTTTGATTTGCCTTTGAAATACATTTTTCTTATATAATTGCCATAGTTTAAAAACACTGTGGTCTCATTTTAAAACATTAGGAAAACTCATTGGAATAAGTTCTTACGATAGCATACTGTTTATGAAAAGTTAACACATTTAAACATATGTGCAAGCCTTCAAAAACATACAAGCAGGTCAACAGTCGAGCTGACATTGCTGGATTACCATTAGAACAGATGTGGTAATGCAGTAAAAATAAAACACAGGAAATATGAATAAATGTAATAAAGTGAAGATAATCACATTTAAATAGTCTAAAGCATTGCTGCTGTAAAGTCAGTCACTTGAGCTGCAGACAGCTCTAGTACACTGGAAATATTTTTTGCAAAGTTAAAACAGGCAACAGTAATGTTGTTCAAGAGCTGGGCAGAGCTCTTAATGTGGAACATGGTTTAAACAAACATGCAGTAAAGTGAAAGCACCATTCGTTAAACTTAGCATTTTATGAAGATGTTTATAAAGTCAGGGGAGTGAAATGTAGCGTCGTAAGGGAATTTGGACGCTGTGGTACTGACCTTGGCTAAGCTGTGTAGCAGTGACTGGACCACGGCTCTGCCGATGCCCTGAGCCCCCCCAGTCACAAGAGCCACCTTCCCCTGAAGAGACATGATCCCAGCACAGCAGCAGCAAACCCCCTAACAGTTTGTCTTTCTCCTTCTCTCTCACACTTCACCTCTCCTGCTGCTTTTTCTCTCACTGTGCCTCACTTACTCACTCACTTACTCAGACTTTCCCTCTCTCTGTCTTCTTGCTCAGTCCTCCTATGTGTGTTTATGTACCTATCTGCTCTATGTAACACAATCACAGACTTTCTCACCCCTCACTGTGTTTTCATTCTCTTAACTGGGCTGATTTCCCTCCCTCTTCCCTCCCTTAGAGAGAGAGAGAGAGCGTGTGAGAGAGAGAGAGAGGTGAAAGAGAGAGAGAGTGAAAGAGAGAGAGAGGGGGGGTAATCAAAGGTTAAGTAAACTGTGGGATAATAATTACAGGTTTTATCCAGAATGTTGTACCTGCCTTCCTGCCTTCACCTCATTGCCTTGCTACCTTCTCCACACTTCTTTCAGACTTCTGTTTCACACACCTGAACTCTTCACTCATCTCTGAAATCTATCGATTTATTGAGCTGAGAAGAAAGGCACTTAGACGCTAGCTTTTTAAGAAGTTGTCAATCTCACATTCTTCTCTTCAATCTCTTCAAGATTTTGATGGGTTTTCTGTGTGAGTGCTGTTACACAACATGTTCAGTGATACATCTGACTGGGCGTCAGGTCTCTGCATGTTGATTTTCACACTGGGGTGAAATAAATGGAAACAAAAGCTGCTGACTGGTGACTAAACATGGTCTTCTCCTTTCCTCCTAAAACATCATACAGAATAAATGTGGGTAATGATAATAAAAAAAAACACTGTACACACTCTGTACTCTGCAGATTTTCATATTAAGCTACAGAAACATCTCTTCACTTCCCTCCTCCCTTCCTTCCCCCCTCCTCCTTATCTTACTTCCTTCCTTCAAGGATGACCTGGCTATGCTCAGCACTATCACCCATCATGACTTGGAGTAGAGTGGGGGGCTCTTCATCGCAGAAGAGGGATGTCCTGTTCCAGGTAAGCCTCAGCTTTTGATCTGTCTAGGTTGGACCGGAAACCAAACCAAAGGACAAGAGGAGAGTGCAACAAGAAGAACTGTAGAGGAGATAATAGGATCTCACTCCCCTGTGCTTGTACATGCTGTAACTCGGGAAAGAGACAGGAAAAATCATTCTGGACTCCTCACATCCTGGATGTAAATGGTTTTAGCCTCTCTCCTTCAAAACATACTATAGAATACATAGACACCAGAATAGCCAGATACAAGATTAGCTTTCCACATGGCATTGCACTCAGTCTAATTCCATGTCTGTGTCTCTGTACAGTCTCTCTTAAATAGACCTGCAATCACTGTGTGTATGTCATTTTACTGTAAACTCACTTATAGTTGAAAAGATGAGCTAACATTGGTTAGATATTGTCTGTGTGCTGTCTTTATGACTTTCCTTTCTCTATCTAATGCTATGTTTATGTTCAAAGCGTTATCAAGATGATCGTTTTAGAGTGACGTCATCCATGAGATCAGACACGGGGCAGATAATGACCCAAACTAACTGATAGCGTGTGAGGAGATCAACATGAAAAGGTTTTTTGTGGCAAAAAAAATGCAAAAGTAATAAGTGGAACATTATCATTATCTCACTATGTAAGCCTGCCTGTTAGCTCAGAGTGCTGTTAGCTACAGTGATCTGTTCAGAGCTCCAGATCTTATAAAGGCTGTGAATGGGTTTACAATGAAACTGCAGTTTTAACAAAAGGCCACTCTGTTACTGTGTGTTTGATATTGCATGAATATTGTCTGACATGCATCCATTGATCATGGGAATGGATGTCAGCTGACAGAGGAGCGGACTGATGGTTTTGGATGGAAAATGTGTCACATGGTCTGTTATGTGCCGTGTTGTGTCTTCACTCTGATTTCTCTCTGCTCTCTCCCCAGTGCTCATTCAGGTGCCACCCTTTTCCCTGCCTAGCAGCTGCAGGCTGATTTAATCACCAATTAAGGCAATGGTGGTTAAGAGGCTGGGGGAAGCGGACAGAAACCCCAATGGGCCAAGTGGCAGCATACAAGCTGTGTGTATTGTGTGGTGATCTCCTCTGCTTGAGTCATGTGTGCTATATTGTGGTCTTTTGAGGTAAATTGTTACTGCTGTTAGTGTCGCAGTTAATGTTAATAAATTACTATTTTTGATTATTCATCCGTTGCCAATGCCCTTTTTTCCTTGGGTTATATATGTTGCTACTCCCCTCATCCCCTGGACCTTAGTTGGGGAACGTACCAAATGTGGGCTCATCCAGGATAGAAAGAGCTGGTCATCCTCGGACTAGACAAGTGAGTATCAAGCTGGGCTTTATCAGTCTTTCCTTTGGGCAGTCAGTTATTATTTTAGCTTTTTTGTTTTTGGAGTAATTCTAGGTTGGGATAAGTCCCTGACGGAGGTAGGCCTTTCAGGGTTTTGGCCGCTGATGTTTGTCTTTCAAGTTGTCTCGAGCCTGGCACACTCCAGATGATAGGTAGGTACATTTTTGATAAGGCAGGATCTGGGGAAGATTGTTGTTGTTGAGACCAGACTTAATGCTGATGTTTGCTGGTTGCATGTGTGGCATAAAAAATGTATCGCGTTTGTCACTGGTAGGTGTGGTTGGTGAGCTAATTTGGCTGACAGAGTGATTTAGCTATATAACATTACAACGTTGCTTGCTGTAAGCTAGTTTTGCCATGTTTTTTACTGGGTCAGTATGGTAGCCTTTTGAAATGATTTTACGACGTGTGGGTAGGCATCCCGCAAGGGAAAAATCAATGCAAAATGTTTTAAAAGCCTCCGGTAGAACCCCTATCTGTTATCTGTGTGGACAAGAGGGCCACACCAAGCCCATGTGCCCCCAGAACTCAGTAAAGCTCTCTCAGATGTGTTTTGAACCCAGGGAAAAATGTGAATTAGCAGGACATGTGAAACCTTTAAAAGAGACAGCTGTAGAAGTTAATGGTCAGGCTCTCAAGGCACTGATTGACACGGGACATACACAGACCCTTGTGCAATGCTGGTATGTTTCATCAAACTCCATCTGCACTTCAGACACCATTCCTATCTTCTGTGTCCATGGAGATGAGAAATCATAGCCCACAGCAGACATGCCGTGGGCTACAAAGATGATTACTGCTTACCCGATGGCATTCTATACAGCAGGGGGTCAGTGAAGCAGCTGCTGGTCCCCAAAGCAGCCAGAGAAACTGTTCTGAGCTTGGGCCACTGCATTCCATGGGCTGGCCACCTGGGGAAGCATAAAACCTTTGCACGAATCCAGCGCTGCTTCTCCTGGACTGGTTTGAGTAGAGATGTCACCAATTTTTGTAGGAGTTGCCCTCAATGCCAAAAATCATCTGTTAGGTTCCCTACCAGAGTGCCCCTCCAGCCTCCTCCAATCATCAGGACTTCCTTTGACCGCTTAGGCATTGACATTGAGGGACCTGTGGAAAAGAGCAAATTAGGTAACCGATTCATGCTGGTTATCACCGATTATGCAACAAAATACCCAGAAATGTTCCTGTTGAAGTCATTAAAGCCATGACTGTTGCATTTTGCCTGATTCAATTCTTTGCAAGAGTGGGGTTCCCTCAGGAAATATTGACAGATCAAGGTTCTAACTTTAAGTTAAGATTAAGGATCAAGATTCCTTTTTATTGTCCCACACAATCATGCACACACAGCATTACATGCAACATGGGGAAATTTGACCTCTGCATTTAACCCATCCATGTGAACACAGCACACATGGAACACAATACACACAGTGACCACACAGAGCAGTGGGCAGCCGTGAAGGCGCCTAGGGAGCATTTGGGGGGTTCGGTGCCTTGCTCAAGGGCACCTCGACAGTACCCAGGAGGTGAACTTGCACCTCTCCAACTACCAGTCCACCTTTCATACTTCGGTCCATGCTGGACTTGAACCGGCCACCCTCTGGTGGCCAAGTCTCTATGGACAGAGCTACTGCCTCCCCTTTATGTCAAAACTGCTTAAAGATGTGTATCAACTGCTAGTTATCAGGAGACTGAAGATCACACCCTATCACCCACAAACTGATGGACTCACAGAATGGTTTAATCAGACACTGAAGCAGATGCTATGAAAATTTGTCAATGAAACTGGCTCAGACTGGGATCAGAGGCTCCCTTATCCTCCTTTTTGCTTATAGGGAAGTTCCACAGGCTTCTACAGGTTTTTCACCATTTTAATTGCTTTTTGGTCATGAGGTGAGAGGACCCCTTACCCTCCTGAAGGAAATATGGGAGGGTGGCAAAGGTAAAGAGCCTGTTAATTTTGTTTCTTAAGTCCTCCAGATGAGGGAGAAGTTGGACAACATGACCATACTGGCCCAGAAACACATGGTGACCACTCAACAACACCAGAAAACATGGTATGATTGAGTTGCCTGGGAGAGGGACTTCCATGTATACCAGAAAATACTGGTGATGTTGCCCACAGAGGAGAGCAAGCTTCTGGCTAAATGGCAAGGACCATATGAGGTAATCCAGAAGTTGGGGCCTACCACTCACAAAATATTTTTTTCCACATCAACCTGTTGAAGGAGTGGATCCCTAGACAAGAGGAGAAACGATCTGTGCTGCTCATCAGGAGTATTGTTGATGAAGAGGTGGAAGAACAATATTTGCCTCTACCATCAACCTCTGCTCTGAGCCTGGACCACTTGTCTGAACAGCAGCAGTCAGGTGAGAGCCCTCTGTACACCAGATGCGTTTAGGGAGACTCCTGGTCATACCAGCCTGATGAAGCAGGATATTGCCTTGAAAGAGGATGTTGTTGCCAAACGTTTGAGTTATAGGATCCCGGAGCATCTCCTTGGTCCCCTTGAAAAGGAAATTGACCTGATGTGTTCCCTGGGTATCGTTGAAGCCTCCCAGAGTGAATGGTGTAACCCCATTGTCCTGGTTCCCAAAAAAGATGGCACAATCAGGTTCTGTATTGACTTCCGGTATTTTAATTCATTTTCAAAGTTTGATTCATACCCCATGCCACTCATTGATGAACCGATTAAGCATCTAGGCAAGGCAAAATACCTTACCACCATAGACCTTTGTTACGTTTCCCTTTTTGCCGAAACAATAACGCTGACAACGAACAAAGAAAACTCACTGTTGAGAAAACAGATACTGGTGACACATCTTTTACCTCCGGGACAACAGACGTTCCACTTCCATCTTCTGGTGTAAAGTATG